CTTTTTTCTTTTTGCTTATGTGGTGCTGAGGAATCGAACCCAGGGCCTCATGCATGCAAGGCAAGTGCTCTACCACTGAGCCACCTTCCCAGCCTACGAGTACATTTCTTATCAAGCATTGTTGCCTCCTTGTTGTTTCCCCTTCCCATCCTGTTTCATTTTTTTAATATACATTTTATTTTTGTAAAGTATGTATAAACTTTTATTTTTTAAGATTAGGATAATATCAAGAACATCACTACAATTAAACACTTACATGTAGTTTTATCAAAACTCTGGAGCTGCAGACTCAGTACATTCAGCCTTGGCAAGATCTCTATCATGTGACATACTTAGTTAAATCTTTCCATTACCAGTCCAGTCAGTCCAAGACTTGTTTCCTGTCCTGTATGTACAGCAGTTTCTCTACTTTGCAAAAGGAAATACTCCTCACCTACCCTGTTCCTTCCTCTAATCTCAGCAATGCAAAAACCTTAGGAGTCACCACAGAAAGACACCCTGAGGCACTAGTTTTAAGAAGGAAAAATTAAGCTTGGAATTTCAAATTCACCCTTGAAAGTCTCTTGTTATGGGTAGATGCGTGGCTGTATCCAGGACATCTGCACAGCAAGTACAACACTGCACTGGTGAAAATGACCTGAGTTTTCTAGTTTTCTTAGATATCCAAGTTAAAGCAAGGAAAATTCACCTTAAAATGAAAACTTGAGAAGTAAAGCAGATTTCTCCTCATGTATAAACTGAGAAAGTATTTTTATCTACATTGGCAAGAAATGAATTTTGCTTTGCTTATCTGTATTGTAGGATATTCACCTTGCAAAACGCTTTTATGACATGGCAGCGGAAGCCAGCCCGGACGCACAAGTTCCTGTCTTCCTAGCTCTGTGCAAATTGGGCATTGTCTATTTCTTGCAGTATATACGGGAAACAAATGTAAGTGGTCTGTGCCTCTTTTGTAATGAAAATATAATTCATAATGCCTTCCTAGGCCTAGACATTTGTATTTTAAAACTGAGGGACACAGGAAGGAATATCTGATGAGGTCTCTTCCCTTCTTCCACTTAGGGAAAAGTGAATTATAGCCATTTGAAACAGCTCCATTCAGCAAACATTAAATCAGATGAATGTCTGGCCAGAACTAGCACCTTAAAAAAGCAAAAAAGAAAGGAAGAGCCTGAGAACTTGCCCAGGCCATTGCCCTGGGTTCTTCTGATAATGAAGCCTAAGTTAAAAAGGCCACCAGAATTTTCTTCCTTAAAAATAGCCTTGAGTATGGGGCTGGGAAGGTGGCTTAGTGATAGAGTGCTTGCCTTGCATGCATGAGGCCCTGGGTTTGATTCCTCAGCACCACGTGGTATAAGCAGAAAAAAAAAGAAAAAGCCAGAAGTGGCACTGTGGCTTAAGTGGTAGAGCTCTAGCCTTGAGCTGAAGAGCTGAGGGCCAGCGCCCAGGCCCAGAGTTCAGTTCCCGCCCACCCCCACCCCCACCCCCAAAACAAATAGCCTGAGTTAAGTAGATAAGCTACTAGTAAAACCTGGATAAGAGATGAATTACCCAACCCCTTTATAACTGCCAACTCTTGTTCATAAGATGTGTGCACTTAAGGGGTTTGGGATTCTGTCAGTTCTGCATTTGTTCCCAGTACCCACAGTCCCTGTAATGAATTAATCAGTGCAGCATTTCACACTGGAATCCCCTGCAGTGCTCAAAGCCCTGGTTAAAAACAATGGTCCCGCTGGGCACTGGTGGCTCATGCCTGTAATACTAACTACTCAGGCAGCTGAGATCTGAGAATCGCAGTTCAAAGCCAGCCCAGGCAGCAAAGTCCATGAGACTCTTATCTCCAGTAAACTACTAGAAAACTGGAAGTAGCACTGTGGCTCAAGTGGTAGAGCGCTAGCCTTGAGCTGAAGAGTGCAGGGACAGTGCCCAAGCCCAGAGATCAAGCCCCACGACCAACAACAACAAAAAAAAAATGGTCCCTTCATTTCACCTCCGTAAAGATGATAAAAGGATGACATTTCACACTTTAGCATTAGATTCAGAGTCAGGCTTTCCCTCATATATGGCAGATATAAACGTAGTCCCTGCTGCTCCAGTACCCAGAGACTGACTTCTCCCTTGGTCACCTTTGCCCCTGCTCCCCAGGCCCAGGCATGTTGGAATGTGTTCTCCCAGTTGCTTTCATTTGTATAATGTCAGTTGCTCTAATTCCTTGCTGGCATGAGCCAGGGTGTGCTCTACTCTCTGCCAGTTGGAACAGTCTCATTCCTTTAATTAAATAGCTAATGGTATGGTAGGCTTTCTGATTTTCTCTCAGGATTACTTTGGACTCTGGTCTCCAAACACTGATTGTGGTCTAGGATATGATGTTGCCATACACCATACTAAATATATTTTTGCAGTTCTTATAAGGAAATACAAAAAAGGTAATAAGGTATTCATAATACTAACGTAGTCCAGCTCTTTTCAAAAGTATAATATTGTCTTTTTATTTTTTTATTGTCGGTCAAGGGGCTTGAACTCTGGGCCTGGGCTCTGACCCTCAGCTCTTCAGCTCAAGGCTAGCACTCTACCACTTGAGTCACAATGCCACTTCCAGTTTTCTGAGTGGTTTATTGGAGTTAAGAGTCTCATGGCCTTTCCTGCCTGGTCTGGCTTTGAACCACGATCCTCAGATCTCATTCTCCTGAGTAGCTAGGATGACAGGCGTGAGCCACCAGCACCCAGCAGTATTATCTTTTTTTTGGGGGGGGGTCCGGTCGTGGGGCCTGAACTCTGGGCCTGGGCGCTGTCCCTCCGCTCTTCAGCTCAAGGCTAGCACTCTACCACTTGAGCCACAGTGCCACTTCCGGCTTTTTTCTTTTTGCTTATGTGGTGCTGAAGAATCGAACCCAGGGCCTCAGGCATGCAAGGCAAGTGCTCTACCACTGATCCACCTTCCCAGCCTGTCATCTTTTTTTTAAGTCAAATAGTTCAGCAAAATAAAACACCAAGAAGCTAATACTCAAAAGGAGTAGGGTGATGGGATCATGGGGAAAAGAGTAGACGAATGAAGAGGAAGAAGAGAGAGAGAATGCAGACAAGAGTCCAAGGTCTGTCCTATAAAATTAAGAAGAATGAGGGAAGAGGTGAGTTGGGAGGGATAGGTAAGAATGTGGAAAGAACCAGGTGCCAGTGGCTCACACCTGTAATCCTAGCTACTCAAGAGGCTGAGATCTGAGGATCAAGGTTCAAAGCCAACCTGGGCAGGAAAGTCCATGAGACTCTTATCTCCATTTAACCACCAGAAAACCGTAAGTGGCACTGTGGCTCAAGTGGTAGAGCGCTTGCCTTAAACTGAAGAGCTGAGGGACAGTGCCCAGGCCTAGAATTCAAGCCCCACGACCAACAATAACCAAAAATAAACTTTGAAAGGGGTGACATTGATCAGTATATATTAATTCATAACTGCTTTGTTAACTGGCATCTCCTTTATACAACTACTTAAAGATTTTTTTATAAAAAAGAAAAGAAAGTCAGACAGCCTACACCTATTATCCTAACACTTAGGAGGCTAACATCTAAGGATTACAGTTTGAAGCCAGTCCCCCAGCCAAGGCAGAAAAGTCTGTGAGGCTCTTATTTCCAGGTAGGCACCACAGAAGCTAGAAATGGAGCTGTGTCAAGTATTAGAGTCCTAGCTGTGAGGACAAAACCTCAAGGACAGCACCCAGTACCTAACTTCAAGCCACAGGAAAAAAAAGCCTTAACAGTAAAAAAACACCTACCCAGATACACACACACGCACACACACACACCACACACACACACACCACACACACACATACATACACACTTCAAGCCCCAGGACCAGCACAGGATAAAAAGCCTTAACAGTAAAAAAAAACACCTACCCAGATACATACACACACACACACACACACACACACGAACAGTATGTTTTAGTAATTTTTGTCCACACACACACACAAAAGAACAGTATGTTTTAGTAATTTTTGTCCAGAAAAATTTAGAATCTATACCTACAAATATATGAGTGCCTCTAAGTATTTTAAATAAAGGACTAAATCATCCCATATTTGCTCATTTAGGGGTAAAAGTCAGAAAATATCAGGAATAACTTCTCATAAATGATAAGATCTCATAGACTAAGAACATAATTCAAATCCTAAATAAAAATTCATATGTTATAGCATTTTAGCTAAAAAGCGGTGTTATTCAGCTTTCAAGCATTTAAATGCCTTCAGTCTTTACTTAGATGAGAGAAGCGGGGACTGAGTCTGGCTGTCTTGCAGAATAGATCTTTTGAGCTTTTTCAGGCAGGTTACAGGAGTGGCAGGATTCTGATTTTTTTCCCCTTGTTTCTTTTATTGTCCCAGTGTTTCCAGTATTTTGTGTTAAAAATGGTTGAAAATTGGTATGCCAACTTACTGATGAAAAGAATCTTAGAAAGCTGTACCTCAGGCAGGAATTGGTAGCTCATGCCTTTGAACCTAGCTACTCAGGAAGCTGAGATCTTGCAGATTGAGGTTTGAAGCCACCCTGGGCCCAAAAGCAAGAAGTAGAACTGTGGTATACGTATTAGCTCTAGTGCTCTTTATCACTTTATCTGTGACAAAGCTTAGGAACTGCCCAGGGACTACAGACAGACAGACAGACAATAGTGTCTCAATTCCTGATTCATGTTATTGTGAGCTTCAGTTGAAGGCTATTATATCCTAAAACACACACACACATAAAACAGATTTCAAACAATTCCAAAAAGCAATCTCTTTGAATTCTGTATTTGTCTCTGACTTGTGTTATAACTTACATAGTTCATTGCCTAACATTGGAGTGATAATTTGTTTTTCACTATTTCCATGAAGATTCGAGATATGTTCACCCAACTGGATATGGACCAGCTTTTGGGACCTGAATGGGACCTTTACCTCATGACCATCATTGCACTGCTGTTGGGAACAGTCATAGCTTACAGGCAAAGGCAGCACCAAGACATGCCTATGCCCAGGCCCCCCGGGCCACGGCCAGCTCCACCCCAACAGGAGGGGCCACCAGAGCAGCAACCACCACAGTAACAGCCACCGGTGCAGCCTTGTTTGGTGACTGAGAACCTTGTTTGCTGAGAACACTTGCATTTGATTCGGGACTTTGGATGGTGGCCACCTCCTGGGAGAGGCCCAGGAAGCATTGAATTCCTAAAGCTGCTTAGAATCTGATGCCTTTATTTTCAGGGATAAGTTAACTCTTACCTAACCTAGGTTGAATGTTTGTTTCAGTGCCATAAGGAATAACAACTCTTGATGGCTTTCTTCTTTCTTCCCTTACCCCTCGTCCACTTGGAAACATGGGAGATACTCAAAGAGATGTCTTCTGCATCTACTATCTTTCTCGAGTCCTTTGATCATCTTCTTAGTGTCCATGAGTCCTTATATCAGCCATCTTTAAGGTCTTGTATCAACACTAAAAAGTGATCAACGGGAAAAACTCAGTTGCAAATTTCACCTCAAACATGTCTAAAAGTCAAAAGTAGATCTTACCTGTTAAATTATAACTACAACAAAAACGATCTCCAAAGTGTTCTGGAACTACAGTAACAAGACATCCAAATGCAAGTACACATATTCAGCGTTGTTTTTATTTTAGTTTTAAAAGGGAAGGTTGAGTGTTGTTATTGGAAATTGTCACACTTCCTACCATACTTATCTCCTTCAGAGACTTCAGGCTTTTTAAAGTTCTAGGAGAACTTTATTTCTTTGTAATAGAATATAAGTAAAACTTGGTGAACTGATTCCTTGTGCTAATATGTCAATTTGCCCCACATACCAGTGTGATTTGCTTGTTTATTTTGAATATACAGGGCTTTGATCCAGAAGCCAGAGGACGGACTAAAAAGGGAAAAATTGAAAAGCAATATTGGAAGACTTTAGATATGGGGTACCAAGATCATAGACTCACTTTCCCAAAAGTTGGAGCATTTGTTCCCAGGTTTTATTTTACTTTGCATTTCTTACTGCATAAAGACCAACTCACCCTCCCTGAATTCTTCAAACATGTAAAACTCTTGCCAGCTAATGGCAGACAATAACTACCATGATAATAATGAAACTCAAAAATGAAGATGGATTCATTTCAGTGAGTGACAAGAGCCAAGTCCTGTTATTAATATTCTGCATGCTCAGACAGCTTTTAATTTCTCACTGTTTCATATTAACAGAAAAATCAAACACATGCTTAGCATTAATATTAGGAAACTCAAGGCTATCAGAGTTGAGAATTGCCTCTTTAAATTAAATAGATGAGGTGGGAACTTCTCAACAAGAAAGAGCATTGAGAACGTCAAATGAAAGAATTAAAACTTAAATCAAATTTGTATTTCTTTTTATTCTCAAATGGGTGGTGTTCACCAGCCTTTATCTAGTCTGAGATGCATTAGTAAATGAGCCGACATCAGCTTGTTTGTATTATTCTTTCTGCAGTTTTCCATAATCCCTAAACCTGCCAGAAAACTTGAAGAGTTTATTATTTGTAGCATCAAAATGCTTTGGTTTTTGAAATTGGGATTGTATTTAGAACTAGATCTAACTAACCTACAATGAACATGAAGGCTTTAAATGTGAAGTTGTATACTTTTTTGTGTATTTATAGCAGAGTATTATGGGAAATCTGGTAGGCAACTTTCCTACCAGACGTTTGCCTCCAGATTTGAAGAGGGGATCGTGGAGAGGACCATACCATATCTGTGAGAGGTAGGAAATGTTACCCTCAGAAGTGTAAGGTTGCGTTGAGCAGCTCTTGTAAATAGTAAGGCTTGCTTGGTCTCTGACACTTCCATTGTTGAGTGTAGGTGCCTTCATCACTGCCTGTGCTCTCCATCAGAATAAATTGAACACAGGGCAGCAGCCACACTCATTTGGAAGGTACTTTATCCATATATTTATTTAGAAGTTCAAGGAGTGGTGTGCATCCATATAATCCCAGCTATTTGGAAGGCTGAGTTGGAAGGATCATTTCAGCCTGAGTTCAAAACCAGCCTCACAAGCAACATAATTAAACACATGTCAATAAATAAATAAAAAATAGTTGAAAACCCCTCCAAGATGACTACCAACTTCTGTTTGTTTCCTTTTTCCTCCTCCACCTGCCTAATACTTCCTTGGGCAGCATTTTTATATCAAGAAAACATTTCCTAAAATATTGTGCTACTATGGCTGGATGTTCTTCATGAGTCACATACTCCTGTTAGTTTCCTCCTTGCTGTGTAGTTTCTATTAACACTGCAAATATCCGTTCCGTGGCTTATCTCTACCTCCTGTTTTACTCTGGGCCATTTGCTATGAGAAACTTGAATGGTCTGTTTCAGATAACTCCGGTTTAATAGTTTCTTTCAAATGCTGTCTCAAAATACTTTGCTCTCTTTTTTGTTCATAGGTCATGGTACCTAAGCCAATAGGAATTGGGTTTGGCATTTCTCCTAAAAATTATGCACAGTACTTAACCTAATCAAATGGCATCCATTTGAATAAAGTGGCAATAATTAAAGCTAGTTAATGTCAGTGACATTAAACTAACTCCGAGATTCAGGAGTTTTAATGTTAGAATTTAGACTCGCTAGAGAGAGTGTGGCTTCATGTCTTCATAGTAGCTTGTCTTTCCTGAGAGTTATTGCAGTCTGTCTTTCAGCCTGTGAAGGTAATGACAGTCATACTTAATTCAGCTTTGGTACTCTTGTGGGTTGAAACTTTCAGAATCTTGAGACCACCCATTTTGCTTCTGCAATGGTGGCACTTTGGAAGTTTTTACTTCTGTGTTGAAAATTTTGTTTTCCAGGTGAGGCTTATCGTAATTTTAGTAACTAGCTGACTTACTAGTTGGCACAGATGGAAGAGCAAATCAAAAGCTGCTATTTCCTCAAATTCATAATTGAACACTTAATTTGGATTCACTTTTGAATCACTAAGGTTATTCTTGAGAAATTGTTATCCTGCTACATAGAAGGTTAAATCTAGGTTTTACTTACTAAACTGTTCGTCTCTGCCACATCAGGAAGCCTTAAACTTCCACAGTACTCTGCTGATGATCTTATGGTCTTAGCATCTGGTATTTTGTATGGAGGGTTTTGTTTGCTTCTGTTTTTCTCTCCTCTGTTCCTCCTATTTGTTCTTCAGACCAAGGTTTTGGAAGTATGCATGTAGGCCTCTAAACAAAAACCACAGTTGTTCATGTGCATAGCCTGTGTACCAATGTCTGATCTGCAACCCTTCCTTTAACGAGGTTTGGACTAAGATTTGATGTGGCCATCACAACATGCTTCAGCTCATCAGCCCTTTCCCAGCCAGGAGAGCAGAGCTGTGTTGGCTCCAATGACAACTGGTACTTGATTTGGATCTATCATAGATTACACAATATTATGTCTAAAAGTATGCAAGAAATAATCAGCAAAAGAAAACTTACAACTTAATGCAAATGTTAGTCATTGCTCAGTCCCGAGAGAAAATGTATTTCTGAATGCTGTATTGTCTGAAGCACTACCTGGCTTTTAATTGTTTACATGTGTAGGATTCATTGAAAAGAAGCCAAATTTCTCCATCCACTATATTTTCAGAAAATTGTAAATGACCCCCAGTAACAGTTTGTATCTAAATGTGACTATTTACACAAGTGAAGGTCTGAGTTTGTTTCGATGGAAGTGAGGACCTTGTGGTCCTATGCAGGGAGCCATCTTATATGTATCTGTTGGATTGACACACAGGCTGATGCTGTTTCCCTTTGGATTTAAAAAAATTATTTAAAATGTTGACATGATCCATTCATAACCACTATAAATATTTAGGAGAGGAAGTTTGAAAAGACCATCAGTTAGCGTTGTGAAGGAATACCATAGTAGACCCTTTTGTAAATTCATTTGTATTTAATGAAATGCACTATAAAGGCTGGCAAAATGTAATATAATTGTGTAAACAAACAAATCTTGTGAATAGAAAGATGTACAGATTTGTTTTGTACTGTATCTTGAAACTTGTGAAATAAAGATCCCTCCTCTGGTGATGCTGTCTCCTGTTGTAGTACACCGTGGCCAAGCACAGTGCTGTCAGACTTCTTCCATTCTGTGAAACATTCAGGTTAAAGGCAGAAGCTCCTGGAGAACATTCACTTGGAGCAATTTGAATTCATTCACCTTTAACTCCTAAAATTCAGATGTCCCATAAGCCGAATGTTGCCCTAAAGATAACATGACTTGGCCAAGAGATGTTAACCATTTGTGAAAATTCTGATATGCTTGACCTGGCTCAGTCTGTGATAATTCACCTTAATTTAGCCTGACTATAGTATAATTTGTATATTCATAAATTCTCTTGCAAGTTTTTAAGAAGGCTTGCAGGCATGTATCATATAGAACACAGTAAAATATTTAGAATAAGAAAAGCTAGCCAGGTGCTGGTGGTTCACTCCTGTAATCCTAGCTACTATGATCTGAGGATCACAGTTTGAAGCCAGCCCAGACAGAAGAGTCCCAGTGAGACTTCTCTCCAATTAAACACTCAAAAACTGGAAGTGGAGTTGTGGCTCAAAGTGGTAGAGTGCTAGCCTTGAGCAAAAGAGCTCAGGGACAGTGCCCAGGCCCTGAGTTCAAGCCCCACGACTAACAAAAAAGAAAAAAAAGCTGAGTAAAAGGGAATATGAAAACAAAAGTCATACTTAAGCTTTACACACAAAATGCAGGTTTGAAGTGGTGAGTGTACATTACCTATAGCATGTGCTCAGAATAAAAAAGAAAGTTAAAACAATCTAAATTTCACCATCAACTTCCTAGCCCCCAATTCGGTGGTAGTAAAGTCAGTATGTTCTAGCTTAGAAATATCACGTTCCGGGGCTGGGAAGGTGGCTCAGTGGTTAAAGCACTTGGCTTGCATGCCTGAGGCCCTGGGTTCGATTCCTCAGCACCACATAAGCAAAAACAAAAAAGCCGGAAGTGGCGCTGTGGCTCAAGTGGTAGAGCCCTAGCCTTGAGCTGAAGAGCTGAGGGACAGTGCCCAGGCCCAGAGTTCAAGCCCCATGACTGGACCCCCAAAAAAAAAAAAGAAATATCACGTTCCCAGATTAAAAGTGCCATTTGTGGCAAGCAAGACCATGAATCTCAATTTTCACTTGAGGTAACACATTTCAGCTACCCTAGATGACTTTGATTGACCTTGGCAGTAGAAAGTGGGGATGTTGTATGTGAGAGCAGATATCAGCAGGTTGACCATTCTGCCAAGAATTAGGTTTGATACCCATTTGTCCTGTTCCCCATTTAGCCCCATTCTGACATGTCCTTAAAAAACTTAAGTCCTGGGGGCTGGGAAGGTGGCTCAGTGGTAGAGCGCTTGCCTTGCATGCAGGAGGCCCTGGGTTCGATTCCTCAGCACCACATAAGAAAAAAAGCCGGAAGTGGCGCTGTGGCTCAAGTGGTAGAGTGCTAGCCTTGTGCTCAAGAGCTGAGGGACAGTGCCCAGGCTGAGTTCAGGGCCCACGACCGGACCCACCCAAAAAATAAAAAATAAAAATTTTTTAAAAAGTGTAAAAAAAAATAAAAATAAATAAAAAAAACTTAAGTCCTGGGGCTTCATTTATTGTAACGGTGAGAAACTCCCTTTTAAACTTCCTTTGTGTTACTGATTTGAAATTTGCTTACATTTAAGTCACAATACATACATGGATATGTACAAGAAACTAGAAGTCATTTATGTAGTAAAAATAAGCAAGTAAAAAAGAAAATGATCTTAAGAAACTACAAGTCCAAAAGGAACTGCTACTGTGTCATGGGCCTTGTATACTTGTATCACTTTATTTTTTTTTCCAGTCCTGGGATTTGAACTCAGGGCCTAGGTTCTACCCCTGAGCCTCTCTGTGCTCAAGGCTAGTGCTCTACCCTTGAGCCACAGCACCACTTCCAGTTTTTTCTCTTTATGTGTTACAGAAGAGTTGAACCCAGGGCTTCATGCATGCCAGGCAAGCACTTGACCCCTAAGCCACCTTCCCGTGCCCGATTTCTGTCACTTCTGCATAAACAAGCTTGTAATTGTACAGAAATTCAGTCATGAGAAACAGAAGCCACATTTTGAGAGGTCGGGAGTCATTATTGGAGAGCCAGAAATTGCAGGTAGACTCCTGTCACAAACACCTGAAGCCCCTGGAATACACAACACTGTTAGAAAACAGCCGTGAGAGCAGGGGAGGAAAGAACAGAAAAACAATACCAACAAACCAGATCAACTCCATTCCATTGGAGAGCTGAAGTAGGACACCAAGGTGACCAGAGGAGAACCAGGAGACTGGAGACGGTTCCAGTGGGAACTCAAGGCATGGTGAGTAATGGCGCCTGAGCTGGTCTAGGTCTAAATAGCATCAGGGTCGGGGCAGGGCCACAGGGAGTTTGAGAGTTCATGAGGCAAGACTGGCAGGGCCAGTAACCTATTGTCCAACTTCCCACTCCTGCCTCTAGGAATTCAGGCACACCTATCCCCTGGGAGGTGAAACCACCTTCCTCTTACCATGAAGGAACCAGTTAAATCCAATTCCCTATCATCCACCACATGGCCAAGATGGCACCAGTTAGACTCAGTCTTCTTATTTCAATTGGATCCTAAAACATTCTACCGGACTGGTGAGTGTGTGTGTGTGTGTGTGTGTGTGTGTGTGTGTGTGTGTGTGTGTGTATTGATGTATTGATGCTTGAACTCAGGGCCTGGACACTGTCCCTGACCATTTTGCTCAAGGCTACCACTCTACCACTTGAGCCACAGCTCCATTTCCACCTTTTTTTGGCAGTTAATTGGAGATAAGAGTCTCAAAAACTTTTGTGCTCATGCTGGCTTTGAACCATGACCCTTCGGTAGCTAGAATTACAGGTGTGAGCCACCAACAGGAGCATGACCTAGTATTAATACTGAATTGAAGACTGAATATTAATACTGTTAGGAAAATGGAGAACGGAAAAGGAACAGGCCAGACTCATCATCAACAGACAGGTCAGGACTGTTTATTGCCAGCAGGGGGCACACACCTTCCCACTTTGTAGTGGAAGACCCCCTACTCAGGCAGGCAAGCCCACCTAGTTGCCCAGAGTGACAGAGCCCATCGCAACAAAGGTGTTAACAAAGAAGCAGCTTTATTGAGAAGGTTCCTACACGGACTGGTCAGGACCTCAGCACAGACTCGGGAGCTGACACTGCCTCCCCCCAGTGGCCCCCATTCTTTGGTTTTTAAAGGCAAAATCCATGAAGTCAAGCCTGGTCACATACAGTTGGCCAATGGGATCGTAACACACACAAAGGATTGTACAGTCATACACCGGTGGCCAATGAGGTTACAGTTTGTCTGTCATGGCTGTTTAAACCAGCCTATCACATTGGTTTAAAATGGCATGCAAATTTAGTGGGTAAGACGGGGTCTACCTTTTGGTGGGCAAAAGGCGGAGTTTACTGTAAGCACCTGCAAAAGGCAGGGTTTACCATAAACCAGTTGACAATTGGAGCCAGATTACAACCAATCTGTTTTATCAGTCAGTCTTTAACTCAGCAATCAAGGGTGGGTCAGGCTAAGGGGAGGGGGACCAGATGCATTTTTTTCATTCTGGGAACTAAGCCTATCAAGTCTAAAATCCCTAAAACAAAGGCAAAGCTCAAAATGGAACCATACCAGCTTGGGCCCCATTTCAGGGTCCACTTCATCTTGTTTGGAGGTTGTACCAAGGACTGGATTTCGGGGCCAGGTTTATATGGGTCTTAACAAGGAAACAGAAAATAAAAATGGGTTATGGTTTCTTGGGGGGGGCCAAGGTGTCCTTGGCTAGGCCCACAATGGAATGTTCCACCTGGGATGAGGAAACTTTTCAGCTAAGCCAAGGTCAGAATGGCCTGCCTGCGGGCAAGCTGGAGAGCGAGCATCCAATCCTTCATAGGCCATCTTTAGATACATAAAAGGACGTGGAGTTGTAAGAACAGAGCAGGTTCCCATCCAATACTCATTGAAAGAATATTCAATCCCATTGCTAAAAGTGCTAAAGAATTTTTTTCCTTCTCCTGCAAGTTGAATAGCATGTGGTAGTTCTGGTTAGCTGGCTTGGGAACATTCGTGTAAATATTTCTTGTACTTAGTCCACTTTTCTTTTGCCTTCTTACTACCTCACACAGAATTTTGTTGAAGTTCGTTTGCCTGCCAAGCAAGATTGAAAAGAATTGCTCTGAAAATCTTTGAAATATTAGGAGATTCAAGTTAAGAATTCTTGGGTTTGCAAATGAAGTTGTCATTTGAGTTTAGGATTCAAGATTTTTAAATGTGAACAGAAACCTCCATTTCTTGCAAACAGGTTTATTTCAAGCCATGAAAGCACAGCTGTAGGTTTCAGAGTTTACTCACCTGGATTTCCCCACCCATCCTACCCCTACCCCCCCACCCCTACCCCGGCCTTGCCCAAAGTATTCTTCTGGGAAAATGTTCTTAATTGGATTTTCTCCTGGGGAAATGTCATTAATTGGATTTTTTTGTTGTTGTTCTAAATGACATTTCTGAAGTGCAGAAACTAATCCTGATTGTGCCTGTGTGTCTGCCTGCTAGTGGGATTTTAAGGAGCCTTCTATCTGATCTTATTTCCCTTACTGGGAAGTACAAAATTTATTATTCCAGGGCTGGGCATGTAGCTTAGTGGCAGAGTGCTTGCCTAGCATGCACAAAACCCTGGGTTTGATTCCTCAGTACCACACAAACAGAAAAAGCCACAAGTGGAACTGTGGCTCAAGTAATAGAGTACTAGCCTTGAGCAAAAGAAGCTCAGGAACAATGCCCAGGCCCTGAGTTCAAATCCCAGGACTGGCAAAAATTATTTGTTTTTTTGGTTTTTTTTTTTTTTTTTTTGGGTCCGGTCGTGGGGCCTGAACTCTGGACCTGGGCGATGTCCCTCAGCTCTTCAGCTCAAGGCTAGCACTCTACCACTTGAGCCACAGTGCCACTTCCGGCTTTTTTCTTTTTGCTTATGTGGTGCTGAGGATTCGAACCCAGGGCCTCAT